TAAAGCTCAAAACATTTGTGTAATGTTTGTTTTATATCAAATTTGTTGTTTAAAATTGAAAATAACACTATGCGAATTCAGTGTTATAAATTACAATTAATATAAATTCACAAATAACTTTGACTGGATTAGATTATGATTCGTCGTACTAATGGATGCGTTAAATGCAACAAACGAGCAGCCGATGTCTAAACGACAAAAAATCGATGCATCTGAAAATAATAAGAAAGGCGTATTTAGTGAGATTTTTAATGGAATCGATAACACCAAAAACCGTAACAGTGACAACACACCGCCCGATATCTTGCCAATAACAAATCATGAACATAACGGCAACACGAATGTAAGTCCCAACAGTAACGATTTAAGTGGCTCAATAGCATCATACATCAAAATAAGAAATTCATCATCGTCAATACATTCATCACCATCCGGATCACCAAATGATGAGTTAGACAATTCGGTTGCGTGCAATGTCATTAGATCCATTGATTCGACTGAAAAGTGTCATCGTAATCACGAATTTCCTGATCTGCTGAAAACATCACCTGATATTCCATCAACATCTCAGTCACATGAAATATTCACATTGAAAACGGTAGCCAGTTGTGGCCATAGAAAAAATTCAACCATAAATGAAACTTCTTCATCAAGATTAAGCAGTATAGATAGTAATAACTTTAGCTGTTTATATAATGCAGAGGAATTCCAATTGAATTTAATGAAGCAGTGCCTTTGTGATATTGATAAATCAGCGTTCGCAGCGTTTCGCCAAAGGGTTCGATCCGAGCCCAAACAGTTATTGATGGAATGGCCAGCAAATCAATTGATACAATGCCTATCAAATATGGAGCTGTTGTTTGAAGTTTATTTGAATCAAAATGCAAAAGGCGAAATTTGTCAACGTGTTATGATGGCGTGTGATGAAATACTGTGGCAAAATCAGATTATTGACGAAATTACTGATCTTGATGGGTACAACAATAAATTCGTTCAGTATTTGGCTACCAAAGTTCTGGCAAACTGTCTTCTGATAGTTAAAGACAAGAAACCATACTGTGAAGATTTGCTGAATTCCCTCATGGATAAATTGATTACTCGCGCTGATCAACTAACTGAACATAGGTCACTCGGTAAAATGTCTTTCATTCTAGGAATTATATTACATATTATGGAATGGAAAGATATAAAAAAGCATCCGCTCGATGACCAAATTGTAATTAATGGTCGTGAAGTATACAATGATAGTGACAATGAGACGTATTCACTTCCCATCAATATCCCACGAATTGAAGATAATTATTTTGCTGTACATCATAGTGAAGATGAAACTGAAACACCTATGGCACCTACTGCGCCAGTCGAGGCACACATTCTCAATAGAAATGAGCATGAGCATCAACTAAACCATTCAAATGATTCGCAAAGAGTTTCTTGCCGCCTAAAATATTTAAAAGATTCGGAAAGTTTTGATTCCAACGACCTAAAAATATCAATTCTAAAAAAATTGAAAACGAAATGGTATAATCTCGTATTTAAAATTCGTACACTACTGCAATCAAACCGGAATTTACAATACAACGAAAATACAGTGGTTACCTTTTTAACTTTATGGGAAAGAATTATTAGCGTCGATTCATGCATAGAGTACGAATCAACAGTTCCATTTCATTTACACCTGCAAGAACTTACAAGAATCTTGATTGAAGGCAAATTGCCGACTCAGATTTACAAGCAAATTTTGACATTGTTTAGTGCATCATTGTGTTATACAACGACATTGGCTCTGCAACCAGAA